AAAAAGAAAGAAAGAAAAATCAGGGGTGTTCAGGCAGCACCTGTAATCCCAGCACTCTGGGAGGCTGAGGCAGGAGGATCAAATGTCTGAGCCCAGCCAAGCAATTTAGCCACAATGAAGTATTTTCTAACTAGATAATAGATTTAAATATGAAACATAAAACTATAGTACTTCTATAAGATTAAAAATCTATAAGATATTTAAACTGCCTACCTGCTTTCTTTTCTCTTAAAGCAATTATTATCAGAAATAAAGAGGAAAACAATACAAGAGTACATAAGATGATTCAATGCTGCAGCCATACTGTTAAAACCAAGTACTATTAAATGGTACTTTTTCAAAGGCTCAGTACTTTTAGTGGACTTACAAACAAGCAGATGAGAAAATACCTCAAATTAACACTAAAGGGCATGAGAAAACACCAGACACAGCTGAGTGTTTTCAAAAGGCACCTTGACAGTAGTATTAATTATCCTATTTTAAGCTACAGAAAGTCACCCCCAAGAAATGCTGGGAGAAGAGAAACTAAATTTATCTTTATTTGGAGTTAAATTCTCAATTATCTACTTGTGTCCAGTCCCAAAGAAAAGAATACTGATGAATTTATTGTTTCAGCTTTAACCACCACCTTCGACTGTTTCAGAGAAAAGTTGATCTGAGAAGGCCAGAAAGCTAACAATCTTACCATTTTTGCTTTCAAGTTCCAAGAAGTAAATGGAACAGAGATTTACTGGTAAGATAGGGAAAAGAAGAGGGGGGAGGACTTAAAAAAAAAGCCAAAACCACCAGTATGTCTGTATTGTAGTAGCAAATGCTGCATTTTTCAAATTCAGAAAAGACATTAGTAATCTAAGAAGTAAACAATGTATTATCTGTTGAAAGTATTAAAACTATTCTCTTTAAAAACAAGTTTCTTGCTTGACATGGTGGAGCATGCCAGTAATCCCAGCAATCTGGGAGGCTCAGGGAGGAGGATCCCAAATCCAACCCCAGCCTGGATAACTTGGGAAGACCATGTCTCAAAAAAAAAAAAAAAAAAAAAAAAA